GCCCGGAGATGCCCCCGGAGGAGGGGCTGCAAAGCCAGCCCAGGGAGCTGTGAGGAGGAAAGAGCCGTCCTGTGCCGGGAAGGTGGCCGGAGCTTGAGCCGGAGCTCCGAGCTGGTGGTCCCTGAGCAGCCTCCCAGCAGGGAGAAGCCCTTCAGGTGCTTGGAATGTGGGAAGAGCTTCAGGGAGAGCTCAAAACTCCTCAGGCACCAGCACATCCACACTGGGGAATGGCCCTACACGTGTGGGGAATGTGGGAAGAGCTTCAGGAGCAACTCCAACCTGATCCAACACCAGCGCATCCACACTGGGGAGAGGCCCTACAAATGTGGGGAATGTGGGAAGAGCTTCAGGACCAGCTCCCACCTCCGCAGGCACCAACTCATCCACACTGGGGAACGACACTACATGTGTGAGCAATGTAGGAAGAGCTTCATTGAGAGATCCACCCTGCTCCAACACCAGCGCATCCACACTGAGGAACGGCCCTACAAGTGCTTGCAATGTGGGAAGAGGTTTCCGAGCAGCTCCAGGCTCCTCCTGCATGAGCGGATACACACAGAGGAGAGGCCCTTCCGCTGCACCGACTGCGGGAAGGGCTTCAAACGCAACTTCCACCTCATCACCCACCGGCGCATCCACACCGGGGAGAGGCCCTACAAGTGTGGGGAGTGTGGGAAGAGCTTCAGCAACAGCGCCAACTTGACCAGACACCAACGCACCCACCAGTAAGAAAAGCCCTGCGAGTGCCCCGACTGCAGGAAGAGCTTCGGCCGCTGCTCCCACCCTGAATGACCCCCCTGATGGTGAGGCAACCCCTGGAGTCCAGGGACTGTCAGTCCATCCCTTTCTACCAGAAAGGGCCAGTCCCCTTTGCCAGGGGCAGGTTCTGCCAACAGAACCCTTCTTGGGGGGTGTGTGGAGATTCCTGCCTTGTCTGGGACCCCCCAAGGTCAGTGCTGGAGGTTGAGAGCAGAGATCTCCCCCCGAGCGTTGATTTGGGGGAGTTCCATCCCTCTCTAATTCATAATTCTTGCTTTGGTGCCAGCTTGAGTAGAATTGCTTCAACAATTGCTTTAGTGTAGAGCAATGTCCTATCTTATGCTGTAGTACTGATAGTTTTAGTGTTTCTATTGTGCAGTAAATAATTCTGATGAAGATCTTTTGTCTGATCCTTTGTAACCCTAAATAATTCATTTCTATCAGTAGATGTGATTTGCCATCCTTAAAACCTGGGTGACAAAAGTGGTTCAATCCCACCTCTGTAATTCCTCTTAACTAGAACTGTTGGCATAACCCAAGGCTGAGATTGGATCCAGCAACCCCAGTACCCCACAGTCAGTTGAGAGCTCTGGCAGGCACCACCCTTTCCCCACTCCCCTGTGCCCAAAGACCCCCATGGGACCATCAGACCTGCCAGACCGCCCCCCCTTTTCTACCCTTCTACCTGTTCCTTCCACTTATCCATGG